GCAAGTAGAGGCTGTTTTGTTGGATGCAGCCCCTGGCTGGCCTGGACACCCCTTGGGTGCACTGGAAAGGTAGGAAGTCAAGGAGAGTGGTGGGGAAGACAAGTGATAGGACCTGAAATTACTCTGTTCCTATGCTGCTAACAGGGGTCTGGAAGAAGCTAAGAAGTAGGGCCTCCAACAGGAGCCACTGGATGAGACAAGGCAACAGAGCAGACCTCAGAAACACCTTTCAGCAGAAGGAGCTGGAGGAAGTACTTGGAAGGCAGCAGGTCTTCCTGCTGGGCAGGTTTTGTTTTCATCCTCACTGAGGGTGAGCTGTCCTGCAGCACATATGTATTTTTCCTCTTCAGTAATAATTGGTCCTTTGGGTAATTTTCAGAAAACAACGTGGAAATTACAGGAAAAAATTAACCAGCAAACAGACCACCAAGAAATGCTTTGAGAGGAAAAACCCTGTAAGGTTTTAGGGGGAGAGAAGAGGAGGCTCACATGGGCCTCACATGAATGATTTTTAACGGTTAATAGACATTAGCACACTTTTCATACTTCAGCAGAATGCAGTAGAGGCACAACAACAGAGGGCTATAAACCTGGCCACAAATATATATAAGCAGTAATCTTGCTATTAGGAATAGCAAAAGAGAAAAAATTTTTCTACCACAATGAAAAAAAAGCCAAAGCATAAACCCTGAAGAGAGGTTTGCATATGCCCATACACACTTAGGATTATGGTACAAACATACAAACCTTAGGATTTATTTAGCTATGTTTAAACTAAACATATCAAACTAAATTAAAAAGCAGACCATCGAGAGACAAGAAAAGTTTTTATGAGTGAACCAAACATATTTTTTTTCTCTGCATAAAACATAACAGCTTGCAGGAGCACTAATTCATAGACAATTCACCTATGCTTTATCATCCAACATAGACCATCCGGCAATCCGACAGAATACACTTGTGGGTCACCACTTCTCACAGCCAATAGAAATAAGGAAGTAGTTCTCCTTAAAATCCTCAGAATATACAAAATGCCAAGCACTAAAGCATACAAACCACACATCTACACGAAAAGAGTATTCACACCAACCTAAATTAATTCCAGGTCCTCCTAAACAACAAACCTTACAGTAATACTAGAAGAATAACAAATGCTTACCTCCCACCCCTCTGAAAGGATCATCTTCTCTTTAGATACTGATTCTAAAACTCCTCAAAATAATTACTGAGGGCCTGAGTTTTTGTCTGGGGAAGACGATTCTGCCCTCCATTTGCTTTGGCAGAGGCCCTAATTGCCTGCCTCTACTAATGAACTAATCTCAGGCACCTGGAACTAGCAGGCTCCATGCCGGGCAGGCAGAGCTCAGGTTACCTAAGAAATGCTCCAAATATAGTCACACAAATCACCAACCCTGCAGATGTGCAAATACTGCTTTTGTCATATTGCTGGAGAGATGGACATGTGTTTGCAGTGCTGCAGCACATAAAACCTGAAGATGAATTCATTGTGTTGCTTTAATCCCTTCCAGAGGCCAGGTGGGCATTTGGGGAGCCAGGTAAGTGTGGTGATTATCCACATTACTCATTGCATTAATCCACTTGCCTGTGTGACACGGAGTATCTCAAATGCTCACAGCATAAATATGTAGGTGGCTGGAAAAAATATACATATTTCATGAATGCCTGTTGTCTGTAAAGTGAAACCTAATCAGGAAGTGAGCCTAAAACTTTGACTAATTCCAAATTTTGCCAATGCCTAGAGTATTTAAAATTACAGTTAAAGGACTGCTAGATCCTTTATCCTTTAAGTGATCCTTTAAGGATCACTAGATCCCTAGTCACTAGAGGATGTAAGCAAGCCTCAGTGTAAGCCTTGTTACACAAACTACCACACTTTTAACAAATTTTAGAAGGTTTTCACAGGCAAAGAGTTTTCCATGGCCTCAGAAATTAAAACAGGTGTCATGCAGATTTCCATCCAACCATCCAGAAATTTCTTCTTCCCTGGACTGATTATGCTGATAACCATGTGTCAAATTCTAGGTGTGTGTCTGGTTTCATTTGAGGAGGGAAGGATGATCTAAACAAAACACAGTTTAGCAGGAAAATAGAGGAAAGCAAGAACAGGCTCTCTTCTTGGTCTTTGACAAATTGCCGAAATATATCGCTGTTTAGCTCTTAGGTGACGTTCATACAGTTTTGATTAGCATGAAAAAAAATTACCTTTATTCATTCATAAGCCTGAAAAATAGTGTTATTTCTATTGCTTACATAGACACAAACACCTAATCTTTTTATAAACAAAGGTAGGAACATCTTTCTGAATTATATACGTTTTGTAGTGTTCCAGACTTTGGGGTTTTTTTCGTCTTCAAGACACCATAAAAAAACAAAAGAAAAACTACTTAAATTGACTTATTCAGATCAGACACCTGGATAGATTAGATTTTAGATAGTGATTGAATGGCAAACTTACAGCTTCACTGAAAAAGGTTGCGCAGGTATTGCACAAGTGAAGTTCAAGTCTGAAAGTAAAACAAAGGCAGACAGGGCAGCTCTAAAGGCTCAGAGCTCAGTCTACCAGCACTGAGAAAAGTCTAAATGGAAACATTTGTGCACAGTAGGAATCCCCCCTCACTGATAGCTGAACTTCCAAGATTTCCTTAAGAAGTATATTTAAATAATACTGTTTAATGCAGAGCACCAGAATACACTGATGCACCCTTACTAGCTTGAAGAGGACTCCAACAAGGAACAAACCCATTTGTCTTCTGTACTCTAGTAGTTATCAGAAAAGTGAACTTAATTAAGTAATTATCATTAATTAGTGTGAACACTGAAAGGTAGTATCAAAAATCCCCTTGACTGAAGAACTGCACAGATACCAGCTATTTAATTAACACAATGAGTGCAACCTATGAGATTGAGGAGAGCAGCAGAAATAACAACCATTCCACCAATTTCATGTATGGCAGTAAACCTCTGTGTGAAGGAGGGCTCCTGGAAGTAGGAGTTTGTCATCTCCCAAACTGCTCAGCTAGCTCTCATGCTTTGGAAGAGTAGGCAGGAGATGGTGAATACGCTAACATCAGCCAGGCAGTGCTGCTGTCACCACTTGACCCTGGAATGCAGGGAGCAGTCGTGCCAGAGACATGCAAAATACCTCCTGTGCCTCCTTTGCTGAGCACTACGCCAGCATTAAGGAAAGAAAAAGCTAAATCCTCACCAAGGAATATATCTATTTCTGTTCTGCGTAGGGAAAATATTCAACACAACAGCGTCCATGCATTCTTCACTGTTCCTCTCTAATCACATGCAACCCCAACGAAAGTTACAAAAGATGTGTATATTGAGGAGCTCAAAAAGTATCTACTCTGAACATTTATCACAATTAAAATCATCAGTGGAACTAAACAAAAACATTTTGGGAAAGAATTCCTGAATGTTAAATTATGGTAGGCTCATGAGGAAAGGGGATACACAGACCTGTTCAGATACCTCCAGATATTTCCTGGAATATATAACACCACCCTGCCATCTTACATTAAAAAAGCAACAGGAAAAGTCGGGGACTATATTTAATGAAAGGGAAATGGTTCAATGACCTCAAACCAAGACACTTCTTGTAAAATCTCTTTTTTGCTTACTCATATTTTCTTTCTTTGTTTAGTCACTTATGACAAGGTCCCAGGTGATTTACCCTTCCCATGACCTTATGTCTTTTCACTGAAGTGGTGACCTTAGATATTAATGCGGGTTTTGAGGTTGCCTTTTAAAGTGTTTGTTCTCATTTCAGCTGTTATTGATGAGCACTTGTTTTCTTAAAGGCCTCTTTTTTTACACGCAGGGTAGACGTTCTTGCTTCCCGTGAGCTGTGGATTCATTCTGCAGTGCACGAGGGGCTGGGGTGCTCCCTTGCGCTCCCACCTGCCCTCCCGCACAGCCTGAACTCTGCTTCACCTCTCTGAGCACCCAGCAACCCGTCCTGGGCCAGGCCAGGCCTCTGAGCTGCTGTCCCAAACAACAGCGTACAGCACCGATGATTGTTACTGGGTCAGGATAAACAGAGACTGCTGTTCTAAGACAGAAGTGTGAATTTCAGCTGAATTTATATTGCAAAGTGGTTTGGAAATATCTCTCTCTTGCATCAAATTTCTGTTGAGGTTCTAGGACTATATGCACGAAAAAGAAAAACAGAAAGAAAAGGGCTTGCGAAGCAATCCTACTCTGTGGAGTGAATGAATACTGAGGTTTCTACTGACTTCAGCAGGGTTTCAGCCTTTGCCATGTCAGCAAAAGTCACCATCTGTTGACAAACAAAACAGAGGAAGAAATCTTCCTTTCTGCTCTGTCTCAGTCTTTTCACACCTGCCTACCTCTCCTGAAGTGTTTGGCACTGCCTGCAGCCAGCAGCAGTTATGAAAAAAAGACATGGTCCCTAAGTGGGATCTCGTGTAGCAATTCCTGAATTTCTAAATGGTTTGTGAAAACCGATGTGCAAATTGTTCCTCTTTTCCAGGGAGCTCTGGGAACAGAGTCCTCTGTAGAAACTGGACTCTGAGTTGCTTGGTGAATTTGGTACTGAGTAGTAAGGACACCACTTTTTACTTTCAGTGCTGTAGGAAAATTTTATTTTTATTTTTGTGGGGTCACAAAGTGCATATTTTAATATCATGTTATGTATTCAATGTACTAGAAAACCCTTTGTCGTTTATAAGCCTCTGCATGTGAGGCCATCTTTTCCTCTGTCAGGGAGAAAGACAGGTTGCCTGCCATCACCTACTCTCCAGCAAAGTCAGCAGCCCACACTGTCAGTGTGAAAACATCTGTTAAATGGATTTATTGACTAGGTCTTAGGTGCGAGTTGTTGGGGTTTTTTTTTCCCGCACTGTTTATTACAGCCCTGACCTAATGAACTTAATTTGTTGACATGTTTCCCTCAGTGTCTTACTTGATCCTGTCTCACATTTCTTTCTACTGTGCTGTTTTCTTGGAAACAGGAGTTCCTGGCGCATCGGCGTGTCCACCAGTTGCAAATCTACCAGGCTCAGATGGCTACAGTTGGCATGGCAGGATTAGATAAACATCGGCCAGTGCCCAGGACCACGTCTTCCCCTGCTGATTCCACATTACCTCACCCAGCCGTGGACCAGCCCAGCCAGCATGTCTACACGACTGGTAGGATTCCCTAAAGACTGCTTTTAATAGGCAGGGTAAATGCATTTGTTCATGTAGGATCAACAGATTTAAATGCCTCGAATACCTGCTGCAGTAATGCATTCAGTTTAGCCTTACGGTTCTTTGGTTTTATGACGCTGTACTGGCATCAAGTCAACCAGTGCAGCTGATAAATCACAGGGTTAATATTCACACAGTCATAAATTATTATCATTGACTGGCTCTGGCAATTAAGCAACAGGTGCATTTTTGGTGTCTTTAAGTAATTTATAGCTTTTTGTTTCATTTCCCTATCCTCTGGTTCTTTTCTCCATATTATTGTTGTCTATTTTGTAAAGAGACCACCAATAAGTTGAAGAAAGACCACCAGTACGTAGGAAAGCTGCAATACAATCCTCAACGTCTTCATTTGACAAGTCAGTCTATGCTACAAGGTTGCTTGCCCTACAGAAAGAGCAAAGCTGTAGCCATGACTAGAAGGTGATGTTGGCTACAATTTTGGTGTCTTTCAACAGTTGCGTGAACCTACAGAAGCAAGTTTTATGGTCAGGCCCTGGGCAGTCCAGTCACTCAGGGAGCATCTCCTACTGGTATGGTCTGGGCTGACCAAAGCAGAGTGATTAGAATCCCAAAAAACTTCAGTGAAAGGAAGAAAAATGACCACAGAAAACCCATTTCTTAGCATGGGTAATCTAATCTTGCAAGAGGGTCCATCTTTTTAAAAGCCTGAATTTTAGTATAACGTTACAGCATGCTTAGAAGTGAAGTGTCACTTTGTACACAACAAGGGGGAAATGGATACTTGGAGGTACTGTATGTTCAGGTTTTTACCAGAACTACTAATTCCTTCACACTGGTTGACAGAACTTGCCATGCCCTGAAAGCTTACAGCTCCTCAGGCCATGACCATGGATTCGGGTAGGATGGAGTCCTTAATGGGCTTTCTATGTGACTGTGCAAGACAGCGTGCTTTCCCATCTTGCCAATTAGAATGTGAACTTGGAAAGCAAAGTTTTATTATTTTAAAGAAAAAAACCGCAAAAGAAAAAGAGATGTCCTTAAAGCACTGCAAGTAACTGGGTAAATGGATGCAAGATGACATTTGAAAATGAAAGACATAATTTGTTCTTCTGTAAATACACTGTCAACTTAGGAATTTCACTTTTTGGGTAACAAACATTGGGACTGTACAGAAAAAAACATGCTAATTCACTTTCTATGAGTTTCTGTAAAGAGACCAGCTGTGTATAGACAGGATTATTAAACCAGGCCACTGTTTTTCTAGTTGTGGTTCATAGAGTCCCCAAAACATTATAAAATCATTCTAAAAGATTCACAGAGCACACCAAAAGTGAGATCACTGTGTGTAGGCTTCGGTGTCCTGTTCAAAGTCTGCAGTTTCACTGGAAAAGATGAATGGAGTTGCAAATGTAAAGGCTGCTGTTTCAGTCCGATTGCTAAAGTTTACTGACACCTCCCTTTATAAATCCCCAGAAAGGGGACTGGGGTCAAGGCAGTTACACATATCTGGGGACTTGTGACATCAGTGGAACTGATTAAGAAATAAAATGTGAAGTTGAGATGGAAGAATAAGAGAAGGAATGGAATGATGCAGTACAAACACTGAACGGAGGTGGAAATGGGACGTACCAGGCATGAAGGGCTTGAGGTCTGACGCAAGGAAGCCTGACGGGTTCTGCAATGGAAATGCAGACAGTGCATATGCAGAGTCAGGGTATATTAAGGTCAGGCAGAAAGTTTAACTTTATCCTTTTAGTAAAGCGTTACTACATGAACAACAGCAGTGGAAAGAGAGTAAGAAAGAGAGAAGGAAAGAGAGAAAAAATGCATCTTATTCCAACAGAGATTCTTAATTCTTCACTGAACTCCTTTCTCCAAATCTGAAACATCTTTTTCTTGAATCCTTGTTTCTTCTTTTCTTGACCCAGAGCACACACCTCTGCAGTCACAATGAAGCCTTTCCTTTCTGCTTGAAGAAGTCCCTTTCCCTAATAAGTTTCCACGCTTGCAGGCTTACATGTATAACCTTTATCACTGCAGTTTCTGAGTACATTGAAAATAGTTCTGTTTCCTATATTATGAAGTTAACACCTTTGCAGTGACAATGAACTGAGACTTTGCAACATCCACAGTTCTAATACAGTTTCTGTGAATAACTAGATAAATATGTGTATTATTAACATATGGTGTGGTATAGTGCGGTATGGTGTGGTATGGTATAGGGTGGCTTTATTTGTGCATAGTATTTCCTGGGTCTGGATGGAGCCCTAGCATTTATTTATTGGTCAGTGAAAAGAAAGAAAGCCAGACCCAATTTTTATCTATACTTATACAGCCTTTCCAAAATATTTTGGGATGAAAGCCCTGAGCAACCTGGTCTGATCACAGTGCTGACCTGCTCTGTGCAGAGGGGTTGGACCAGAGACCTCTGGAGGTCCCTTCCAACATGAGCCACCCTGTGCTCGTATGATTTGCTCCCTTAAGAGAGCACAAGGTGCAACCAGCCATTGTCCACAGCAGTTGCAATGCTATCATTTTATAAAGCATGGAAGGAAGGAATGTGTGGGCAGAAAGGGAGAAAATTCTAGTACACCATGAAGTGAGATCCAATTCAGAACTTAGAAATTAATGTAAAAACACCTCCCTGTCTAGAATTATTTGTTACTGTTTTGTTTTTTTTTTTTTCCTAATTAAAGACAATATATACTTGAAAGAGAAAAAAGGTAGAAGGAAAATTCCTGTGGCAGAACATTACACAGGGATCAAAACGACCCTGTATTTTTGTGAGTCATGAGAGAAAATGCTCTTAGGCAAATATCTGAAGGGAATCAGAAGGGTGGTGGTTGTGAGAGATCTATGCAATATATATGCAGTATATGTCCAAGATAATGGTTAAAGATGGAAAAAAAATAGAAAATCTACTTGATGTTCATTTAGATGGTTTACAGAATATTTGACATCATTTAGTTCAAATTTTTCTCCTGAAAAATTTATGAGATATTCTTCCCTTGGGTTTTCTTATTGATATTGTTGTTTTCCAGGACATTTCAGCTTCATCAAAGCATACTGTTAGCCAAAAATTTTTAGGTCTCTTGCTCTTCCCTCTGTTTAAATTGTTATTAAAAGAAGCTGACCCAAATACAGTATTTTGGAAAAGAACGAGTGTTAGGCGGGACACCAGGAAGACCTTGTTTTTTCTGACTTAATGCAAGTTCAGTTTCTGTTGTCCTGTGTCCTCTATCATTATATGGTTCAGTGGTGCCACCATTCCAGTCTGTCATCAGGGCCACATTCTGACCTCAGTAATATTGGTGTAAATCCAGAATAAATCCACCAGTCTCAGTGGAGCTGCTCAGATTTACACAAGGAATCTGAGAGCAGAGTCTGGCTGTAGGCATTTGTTCTGGAGAGACAGAATAACCATCTTTTATTAATATTTCACAGCAGTCTGCAATTGAAAACAGTTGTTTCCCTCTCTCTCTTTTTTTGTGGGGGTGGGGAGATTATTGGCTGAATCCTGTTAGGGAAATCCTACGGGCTATTTTTAGCAGTAAGCTCTACTGCTGCATTGTGGTAGTGTACCAAGCACATGTGCTCTATGACCAGCAGCCACACATCTGAATCACTTGCACATCCTAAATCAATTTAGATGCTTGCAATAAATGAAAACATATACTTCAGTCTTTTCTTAAGTCAATTAATCCTGCTAGAAATAAATTTTACACTCAGTGGTGTGAATCCCTTACTATTTAAAATTTGGAGTGGATGTTGCTGCCATGCAATGCTGACCTGACCTGATTAAACTGATTTTTGAGTCGAACAAAATAATTCACATACAATGAAATTACATTTTTAGTTATATTCTATGCTGGGAAAAATACTAGTGGCTGAGAAAAGGCTGTTTGTGTCAACCAGAGGAGGCATCCCAAATACGCAACTTCAGCATTTCACTTCAAAACCACTGTTCAGTTGCAACCTTGACATAGGTCATCAAAAAGCATCATTTGACATAACATCTTGATTCTGTGTAATAATAAGACAGTAAAATATATATCTATTATTTATGTGAACTGCAGTTTGGACTACGCAAACCTAAGCCTGTAGGGAACATCAATAATTAGAATAAAACATTCATTGAAAGAGTGGCAGGCAGGTGATCCTTTCAACTTTCAGCTATTTTTGTTAACATTTAACAAGTTTTTCCATTCCAATCCATTGGATAAAACTGCCTACTCTGCCTAGGTGCTTCTGAAAGTCCTGATGCATGTATATTTAACATCTAAACACCTCTCTATTGGGCAGGGGGGCGGGAGGGAAAGTTTTCTTATCTAACGGTGTAATGACCACTGGCAAACTGTAGAGTCTGGGTATGCAATAGACTGTAGAAGTTAAAACTTTGGGTGTCAAGAAAGGGAAAGCAAGGTATGTGAGCATGCACTTATTTCTGTGCATATTTGCTATTTCAAATAACTTATAAGACCCGATGATAGAGCAGCAAAGCTTATAAACGGTGCAGTGCAAGTAACTGCAGAGAAAGGAAATTATTAACTGCTTTGACAATGCCAGCAAAGATTTTAAGCTGCATTAGTTTATTAGCTCCAGATTTTCGCTGGTTCTTTTTTTTTTTTCATTAAAAGAAAACAAACCAAGAAAGTAAACACAAGAATTTATTGCTAATGAACTATTTTGTTTGTTAGCTAATCATTTAGCATAAACTTAGTCATGCTGCACATAGGTATTATTGTTGCATTTTCCTTATGCTAAACATAATTGTTGTATTATCATTTTGGCTTAAATAGCAACATCCCAAAGGATCAGTTCTAAAGTGCATGAGCCAAGGAATATGGCAGCATAAATATTTCTTGAGCAGCATAATTTCTGGCTGGCTTCTAACTAGATTATCTCAGAACCTTAACTTTACATTGCCCACAATGTATACAGACTCTTATTCGGTGGATTTTTTTAAACATATTATTGAAGTTCAATATCCAGTCCAGAACTTCGTTGAATAAAGGTAGTATTGAGCATGTTGTTGAATCTGGACTTTAATTTTGTATTTTCTTCACTGGCTGACTTTTCAGTAGCAGGCTAACACAACTTTCCCAGAACTGTGTTGGCATCCCCAGTAGTGGTGGCACATAAGAAAGAGGTTTGGAATGCCAAGTTTTGCAGCTTGGAGAAATTGCTAAATTGAGTCCCTTTCAATTGTAAGGGGAAGAAAAATCCAAATGTTTCCCAAATGAAAATGGTTCACAGGGGTAAGGAAAATCTTCTTTGTTCTGGACATTTCTGAGGGAAATGCAAACAACAAGTAAATAAATAAAACAATTTTTCAGTGTTTCAGACTTGGTTTGAAAGCCTTGGAAATTGAGTTTAGCTCAAGCCTACTCGCTACAATTTTTCTTTTGCTCCCAACCCGCAGCTACAGAGCAATGTGATATTGATAGCTCTTCCGTATAAAGTTGTTCTGTCCATGGATAAATGAACATAGAAAATTCAAAAGTAACCTTGCATTGCAGTCTAATAACAGGATTTTGTCCTAACTGAGCAGTGGGTGGAACTTTCTGTTTTAATGAAAAAGGACTCTGGCTGCCACTGCTGCAGCTCTCTGAATTTTTCATCTGATATGCTTTGAGTTCTGGAATTAATACAGTATTAGTTAAGCAGTACGAATACAGAGTGGCATTGCCATTTCAAAATGTGTTTTAAAAGGTTTTTCTGCATGATTTTCCTTACACTGCTGTGAATATATTGCCTTTTCTTGTTATATATAGCTTGATTAACAGCCTTAACTGACCTTCCCCGCTACAGAAAGAGAAAATAAGTGATTCGGTAATAGGACTCATTTTTTTTCTGGCCATAAAATCTTTAACAAGACACCACTTGATTTCTTCTCTTCTTTACAGTTAATTGTGTTTATTAGTATAATTTCTTTACAATTCATTTTTACCTTATCAAGATCACAAGATGTACCTTTTAACTTAGAGTCTCCCAAAAATGGGGAATTTTCTTCTTGCTCTTACTGACAAATAAGATCCGGTTGTGCTATAGAGTATGCATGACATGGAAGAGTATAACTTGCATGCGTTTTACCTAGTGTTTCTTACTGTGCTGTCTTTGTGCTGCAGGTGTTGTGTATGACAGCCTGATGCTGAAGCACCAGTGTATGTGTGGCAACTACGCTAATCACCCTGAACACGCGGGAAGGATCCAAAGCATCTGGTCAAGGCTGCAAGAAACTGGGTTGCTAAACAAGTGCGAGGTAATAAAAAATAAAGACCAGATACTGGGTTTGTTAAAGTAAATGGCAAATTGATTAAATCCTAAATATTTTTTTTACTTCTGTAATAAGAGCATAATTTGTTTCAGGAATTATTTGGATTTAACTGATGATATTAAAATAATGCGCCTTAGGAAAGCACACTTCCCAATCAGAAAACAAAGCATTTACAGAGTGAAAGTCATTTATCCACTTGTATCAGAATATAAAATCCAGGCATGACCGTGTTCCTCACCTTGATTTTGGAAGGTAGACAAGCAGTAGTCAAACAGCAAGTGCAGTCCTTTCAATATCACAATTCTTAACTTTTTCAAGCAGCTAAAGATTTTACTTCTTTAGTAGCGTAGAACACTTTTTCTTTTTTTTTTAATGTAGTTTGTATCACTCCATAAGCACGTTGTATCTTGTCTTATTTCAGACTCTAAAGTCTGCTTTCATAGCATTTTCATTTGCCTGGAGTACAATGAGTACCAAGTCAAAACTCGAGACTTTCAAACGCAATCTTCGAGACAATATCAGAGCAAATGTGGAACTTCCTTCTGCTTTGATTTCCCTCACAAAATTGCACGTTAAGACATCATGCTTAAAACAAATATGGGCTCTAAGGTTCATAAATGATGTGGGTTACTGAAAAACAGCCTTTTCCTACCATTCACTGCTTCCCATGAGTTATGCAGCACTGTCAACTTCTGCAGAAACCTGTGGCAACTGAGGGTGCTTACTGCATTGCAGCGCGAGTTAACAAAGTTCAGCACAAATTTGCCTATGTTTTGCAGGATCCCAAAATTGCCAGGGATCTTATGCTCTGTTTTCTTTAATTACTTTTCTTCATATACTTAGGTTTTTACAAACCCAAAGGAACTGGTGCAATAGGTTCCTTTGATTAGCTATTGGTGACTGTCCACAAAGATGTTCTGCAGGTAGCCTAGCGTGCAGGCCAGTGAGATGTTGCAAGCACTATAAATGGATTTGTTGTATACACTCATCTAACTAGATGGCAGCACTCTAACAGGCTAATTCGGGTTTTTTTAGCTTGGATAATTTTTTCAATTTTTGAGAAGACTTTCTTTCAGCAAGGCCCTTAATGCCACATATCACATGAGTGGCTTCACTGGTGGGATCACATTCTTAAGGAGTAAGTTAAACACACAACTGCTTTACTAAAATAAGGCCTAGTTACCTTCTTGACTCAGGACCCGTATTATAAAGAAAAGACAAAAAAGAGAGAAAAAAGTAAACTGCAATGTGCTATGTATTGCTTTCTACAGTAATAAACAGATATTGCCAAACAGTAAATTGTGTGGATCTGTAAAAGGTGTAAATAGGAAAAGTGGTATAGGTTAGTCTAAGGCGCATGCAGTCCAATAGTTTCCTGGAAGATTTAAAGTTTCCTCTTACAATTTTGCAATTTCAAAACCTGAAATGTAGCCTATTGAGTCTTGCAAAATCCAGTGAGTGGGCTGAGAGGAAATAAGTCACTTCATGTTGAATTGGCATTCAGATAATTTTGACCCCCATTGTGTGCTTTGAAATGAGGCTGGAATGTGAAATGAGCTGTCAAAATATAAACTCTGATGATAAAACTTTGAGGAACCTCAGTGTCAACCTGGTGGGTAGATCTGGTGTTTATCTTGATCCTCTTCTGTAGCTAAAAACAGGATTATATTTGATGATGTACTCTCTTTTGCTTCACTGAAGTCTCTGGCACTTGCTTGATATCAAACACGTCCTTAAATCTGCTCACTTTTCAAAATAAGGGAGCCTGTGGTGATTCACTTAATTGGTGCTCTGATTGTTTAGAAAAGTTATTCAGCTGGATATATAACTCGTTTCACTAAAGGAGCGGTTATTGCATTATTCAAGAAATAATAGGCCACCATTAAGCTGCATTCAGGAATATACCACACTGAGGATGCGGAGTCAAAGCACCATGGGCAACTGTGCTGTCTCATTTACTGAATTCTGAAAGCCCCCTCATGGACATTAGTATTTCTCAACATAATTCCCACAGTTTCTGTCAGAAGGAGTCAGGAGATTGCTGATCAGGTTTTGCCATGTGCATGGCCTCATGCATCAAGTCTGAAGGGCAGCTTAGGAACAGCAACCTGCAGCAGCCACTTAGGAAACCCAGTAACTGCAGTAACTGTGAACCTTCTTTTTTTCTCTTTTACTGAACAACAGTTCCACAAGAGGGCTGCTGTCCCACTCTTTGTCTGATGAGGACTTTCAAGATCAAAGCTAGTTCAGTCAGAGGTAGCTCAGATCTTGTTGCCTTGCAATGTGTGTATCCTTAGCCACAGGTTTGTGCCAGGGGGCCCTCCCTATTTTATTAATCTAACAAGAAACCCTTATGAAAATGAACAATCATATCTATAAGATCTTTGTTATCTACAGCAGGGAGCAAAACGTGGTTCCTAAATCATGTGATGTGGATTAACCCCTCTCACTCAGCTCAGGTCTGTGGTCCTGGAGAGACAACTGGCCAAGTGCACAGAGAACCGTCATCTCTAACTGGCCATGGGATGATGGAAGCCATACATACTGGACGGACACCACGCTTGCTGCAGTTAATAGATTAATGTCGGTAGATTGATCTAGACTTAATCTATTACCTATGTGTATTGCTCATATTGCCCCCATATATAGCATTTTTAAAATATAAGTGGTAAAAATCATAACAAGGTTTGACTGGGGTACTCAAAGCCGTGTCTTCACCACAAAATAAAATGTGTGCCTGGGACTGTTCTCCACCGCTGTGGCCAACTGGCATGGAAAGGCCCATGTTCATACTACCAGGAATGCTCCCTGGCCTATGCCAGTGACCAAACCATGTCTGGGAGCTGTTTGGGAGAGTGCTAGTTGCTGCTTAGCCAAAACGGTGTGAAGCACCACTTTAGCAATTTAATAGTACAGATGATTGTGTTCCTCTGCCTGGGAATGTTTCCTGGCACTGTGTAATTTACTGCTGCAGGCACAGCCAAAAGGACTTGCTTCTCCAGACTGTATTTTCTCTTTCTAGCCATACATATTTGAGCTCTAGAGTTATTCAAACAACAGTTTAGAGGATTTTTGTTAAATTGAAAAACTCATTAGAGATTTTGGAAATTTTTTTTTAATCATCACTCTTCCACATAGATAGATTAGTTCCCCCATTGGCTTCCCCAAGAGAAAGGAGAAACACATTCAGACCATGGCCAGCCCTGGAGAGCTGGATTTGAGAGATCAGTCCCTGACTGAGTCCAGGACAAGAGAGTGGAGTCATTTCCCCCTGTAGTGGTCTTTTTTATAGTCCTGGTATATATGTTTTGGAAAAATAAAATTCAGAGACAATATTTTTGCATTAGTTTAGAAGTTTTGTGTATGTTTACTGAAGTACTTATTCTGCGTTTGTTAAACGCTGACAGACATAGAGCAGACTGTTAACAAATACAGCACCAGAACAAGGCAGCTAAAAGATGCAAAGATTGGCATAAAAACTTCTATTATCTTTTTTTGCAATTTTCTCTTGGTAAAGAGCAATGCATAGCTGCCCTACCTTTGGGACAAAAAAGGACTGAGTTATGTTTTGGTAGTGGTGTCTGCTTTCTACTTGTTCTAGGGAGAGGAAGTATTTACATAACTCCTTTGGGGCCATAATTTATGCACACATGACTGACATTAGGCCAGATGGATCAGCAGAGTTTTAGAAAGGAAAAGAAGAATGTAGACACGGTCCCACTTTGTGCCCCCACCTCTACTTCCTGTAGGGACTGTGGTCCAGCAACATTTTTCTTTTCAGCCTGGAATTTGTTCTAAATTCTCATAGTTTTCTGGATTAGGGAAACATCTTACACCTCCTGCTGTCCACATCTCATGGACCAAAGGGGAGAGAAGGAAAGAATTTAAAGATTTAAAACCCTTTGAGTCTGCCAGATCACATAGACTGAAATATATGAAAAAATTCCACCCCCTGAACCTCAGTTTACCACTAAAGAAGAAATAATACAGGAAAAGTTAGTCTTTAAGAGCAAAAGTCTTGGTAGTGTTGAACATATTCAGGTTAGGCACCAGAAGACCAAAACACATGAAGAGAGTAAATGTGGGGGCGTGCGTGTTAGAGAGATGCTTGCAATTCCCACGTAATGGAGGGAGAGCAAGGGATGTGGGTGTACTGACTGGCAAAAGATCCATGTTATCTGTGTGTATTTTTAAAAAACAAGAGAGAATCTAACAACTATGAGAAATCCCAGAAAAAGCAGGAAAAACTCCAAAGACCTTGTTTACAAACCGGATAGCCTAAGGGAATTTCAGAGACACTGTCTCCACACTGCAGTGTGGCTGCAGTAAAGGCAACGGACACCTTACACTGAGGGAGTGAGAAGTATTCCTGAAGCTATGCTAACAATTCCTGTTAGTTTAGCAGAGAGAAACAGGCAGTGTTACCTTTTTCTTTTTGAATCTCTGTGCAAGAGTTCAGTCTGCTGAAAGTACAACCAAAATCTTCAGGTTAACAGAGGTTATCTGCGTGAAACTTTAACGGGCTATTTTAAACAGAAGACCAGACTAGACAGTCTCTGACCTTAAATTCTGTGAAAGGTGAAAGCATTTTCCTGTTGTGGGGACTATAACTTTCTAGTTCTAGACTGATTTTTTTGAAGCACTCAGTGCACTCAGGTGCAGTATTTTGCTCTCTTGAGATGTATAAATGTCTCTGTTGATGATGGAACTGCATATGTTGGAGGAGAAAGACAACACACAAATTGTCATGCACATTAGAAAAGGATGACTTGCCTTCTACTAAAGATGTAGTAGATGGATTGATGTATTCAAATCTCCCTGAATGAAACAAACGCTGTTCATAAGTTCTCCTATGCTATTTCTCCTTTTTTGTTGGCTTTATGCCAGTTTTCTGCTTTCTACTACATTTTAGGCTTCTGATACTCCCATGGCCAATGAAAATTAAGACAGACACTTTAAAATAAAAAAGATGTGGATAAAAGTGTATGTGTAAAGTTATACAAATACATATGTTATGTTGCCTGATAAGTTATACCAGTGAGAGCCAGAAACTATCACTTTGCATAACTGAAGTTACATGATTCCAGATTCTGGCAACAGACTTGTGCAATGTGCTTTTGTAGATCTGCTGAATCCTGACATCATTGTGTAAGAAGAACTGTTCTTAGCAATTATTACCGGGAATTTTTAATACAAATTATTTTTCCTCTGTGTAGAGCTTTAGATAGTTGGAATTTTAATGTTATTGAAAATGGTTTGACAGGCAGAGATAGAATCGTAGAATCATAGAGTTGTTGAGGTTGGAAAAGACCTTTAAGATCATCAAATCCAACCATTAACCTAACCCTGGCATCCCACCACTAAACCACGTCCCTGAGCACCTCCTCTACCCATTTTTTAAATACCTCCAGGGATGGGGACTCAACCACTTCCCTGGGCAGCCCATTTCAGTGCTTGACAACCCTTCCAGTCAAAAAATTTTTCCTAATGTCCAACCTAAACCTCCCCTGGTGCAACTTGAGGCCATTTCCCTGCAAGGGTGGGATGAAAGGAACAGTAAATGAGGAGATGGGAATGTAGAAACAGCACGGACATGTGCACTGTTTAGCCTTCCTTTTCCTCCTACCACTTACTGTGTAAATGTGCTTGCCGATGCTCAAGGTGAGAGCTGGAGAAGCCGTGGAGGAAGAGCAGCTCTGTCTGTGCCTGCCCTGGCAGCTCAGCTGTTGGCTGTGCCCCAAGGACCTCGCTGCTGGGAGCAGCCTGGAGTGGGGCGTCCTGGTCGGTGCTACTTGATTTTTGCATCAAGCCTGTTTCTGCACAACCTGTTTCTGCCCTAAGCAATCTGGGAGGCCACTTGCAGACTCTACTCTGTTACTGCAAATCACTATATTCCATAGGATATCACAGAGCTCCTTGTTGTAAGAAAAACGTCTAGCTGTGGGTCTTTTTATAGTTAAAGTGATATGGCATTTAACAGCACTTTAGAAAGAGCCAGACAATTAACTCTCTTAAACATCTCTTAAAGAGTTTTTGTATAACTTGAGGAAAACATATGACCAGAGAGTATTTTACTCAAGGTTCTTTGATGTGACCTTCATAAAATACCTCTTTACTTTTCTTCACCATTTATTTTAGCTGTCCTAAAAGCCAGCCTCCCTTCCCAGTTTTGCTGTGGAGAATTGGGTATACAGATTTTAAAGCAGCTCATTAGAAACATAGACCTTAATGAGAATGGATGAACGAACAAATGTTACCAGTCACTCACTTGTGAAGAAAAACATTTTATCTGACCCAGAAGAACCATTATAGAGTTTACTGACTCCGTGAAGTAACATAATGTGCTGATTTTGATTGTGCAACTGTGTGTTAAAAGGATGTGAGTGCACTGCTACAAATTCTCATGTGAGACTGGGAGAGGCTTGAAAAAATTAGAGATGAAAAAGGGTTTAATAAGTCTTTTAGTTCTTGGATCATTCCCTAAAATATTTTTTCCACTGCTGTGTCCAGTCACATTTTAAACATTGCAAGAATTAGGGCTTCCACCATTTCCCTGAGGGGGACCTCGTTCCACAGACATCTAGATCGAACTCATAGGACATTTTTCCTGATTATTCAGAAAAAACTGCCACTGCTTAACTCAATATAAATTGTGCACAGTTCGTCCGACTCCCCTAGGCAGTTCCTTTCTTCTGCAGTGCACATTCTCTTTAATATTTATAGTATTGCTTTCTTCTCCTAGCGAAGAGGCTGGTGCCTTCTGATGTGCATGAGTAGATGTTGGATATAATAAGAATTACAACTTAACCTCTAAGAAAACTAGAAATGAGTGGTATTTCTGTAACAGGTTAATCAGTCTATTAAATATAAGGTGGTCTATTTAGATAACTTCTGTACCTGTTCACCTATAGATCTTGACAGTCGGATGGATCCACAGCCTAAGTTGTGAGAGGTTTTACCCCAGGTGTTCATGAGGACCATCTCTGCAAATAGAGTCCAAGACCTTAAAAATAGGCTGCTTTCTCTCTACTTTATCCAATATCAACAGGAAATATGATCTTGGGGTGAGAACTTTGTTGACAGTGCTGTTTATTATGCCCAAACCTGAACAAAATCTGCTTCATGTTGCTGTGTCTGCGAAGGCTCTGAAGCACTATCACAAGCAGAGAAGTAAATATTTTTATGACAAGCTGTAATGCCAAATACATAGAAGGAACAGACCTGCTGAATAAGAAAGTGTTGGTTTTAATCTTTTCTTCCTTCTTTCTTATCTTCCTTCCTTCCTAAACTTATTAAATTTCAGTGGATTTTTAGAAAGACATCCCAGGTTTTTTAACACCGATTTAAGTGGGGAGAGTACAGGCTGGAGAAACAGTTAAAGAGACAAACTCCACTTACAAAAACGTAAAGAAGCAAGTGAGCCAGCATACGTAACAGCAAAAATGATCCTGGGATATCGAGCATACATTAAAAAAATTAAAAGATATAGAAAAATTTTATTAAAGCATTTAAGCTTTAATTTTCTTCTTCACCCTGGCTCTCCTCACTGTAATCATGTTCTTCCTAGCAGCGTAAATCACAAGTACTAGTAGTAATGCAAAAATCATTAATCCTCACTCAGAATACATCTGCAGCTCACAGGTGTGAATAAGTTTTTGCTCTTTAAACAGGAATTTTTCTAGCCAGCTTTCTTACTTAAGAAATATTTCACCTTTTGATTTGTATCTCTTAATATAATTTAGAAAAGAGGCAGAATCTTTTTCTTGTCTGTGAAACCCTGTATTAAGTTGACTCTGCTAAGACTTAAGTGAAGCATTTGTGATAAACCACACACGCATTTGTTTTTCATATAGCATTACTTTAATAAACAAATCAGTGTCACATTCCTGCATGACGCAATTTCAACCCATTATTAATCATACTAAATGTTATTTCGGACCTTTACTATTTTTTTTTTTCTCCCTAAATATTGTCAGTGGAATATTGTAGGCCTCTGCTGTTTTCTTTCAGCGAATTCGAGGTCGAAAAGCCAGTCTGGAGGAAATACAGCTGGTTCACTCTGAACATCATTCACTGCTGTATGGCACCAGCCCCCTGAACAGACAGAAGCTGGACCCCAGGAAACTCCTAGGTCTGTACAGGCCTCTATTCTACTGAGAACAGCACATTCCAGCACTGTCATTAGTCATAGCTGGTGTCAGTTTAAAATACTTGGCAAGCAGTGTGACAAAAATTCACTTTTTCCAAATGCATTGCTATGTGGAAGGAGAATGTTACAATGGAAGCCAAATACAGATTAGCAAAATGCACAGGCTGGAAAGCAGCAATAGGAGTTTCTCCTCATTTGCTTCAAAAATCATCGAAGTGTTAACCCTTTACTGTAATTTGTTCTCCTTCGGAGGTCAATGGCAATTTTGAACACTGTTGGTCTTCTATCTCCTTGTGTTCCTTGATTTGAAAACAGGAGTTTAAGATACACTTGCTTGTCAGAATTGCTTGTCTGCTGTTCTCATTTGCTTTATTTCAATTATTTCAGCCACGCTGAGTGCAGATACCGTGCCTAAGTCTTGCTAATAAGTGAACTTTATTTTAATGCCTTCCCATGATGAGGGATATGATATCTTTCTGAATAACAGTGGGGGAAACCACATTAAAATATTAAATGGATCTATGGATGTACAGAATAGCAGAAAACTGATGGGATTTTCACATCAAATATCTTCATGCACAGTCGGTGCTCAGTGTATGCTTTTTATAATAGAAAGTAGGGTTAAATTGAGCTCTGCCATGAGTGTAGCATGAAGCAGATCTACTTGTCAGACCTGCTACAGAGAATGTGGAAGGAAACACAAAAAAGCAGTGCATTTTGGAAATAATCTGTGAGTGAAATCCTACCCTTCATGTCTGAGCACACTGGATACAACACTGTAATTCTCAGCTATTTTTATAACACTTATTCTAAGATGTGGAGCTTTTCTGAAATGTAATGAAACCCAACCCAAACAAAAACAATATTAGCCATCAAAAGAAATTGCTGCCACAGTTCTAGTAATACATAGCAATTATTTTGCTTTGGAAACTAATGCTAAGAGTTTCTTCTGCCAGGCAGACTGTTGCTTCAGTGAGTCATAAGAGTAGATAAGAAAGATGTCTTGATCACAATGTTATCTAAGTTTATACATCTTCTTAGCCAAGGCAACATCAAAACAAAAATACTTGCAGTACGATAGATACTCAAGAGCTTGAATTTCCAAGTAGGAAATCTCCCTCTAAAAAAAAAAAGTGCTTCCAAGAAAAAGCTCTAAATTCCTGCAAACTTAAAATTTGGAAACATTTTGATTTGAGTTCATCAGCATCATCAAAATGTTCCATTTTGATAGAATCAAGCATTTCATTCAAATTTTGTTGGTTTTGGTTAATTTCATTTTGATTTTCATCTTATTTAATATAACATACATTGATACAAAATATTGTTCCCATTTTGGATCTCAGTGGTTGACCGCCATATGGGATGCAGTGTGTAGTTGCAGCTACGAGGTGAAAAAAGGAATGGATCCAGGTTTTCTCGCTGTGTTTCTGCCTATGCATAGAGAATGCAGAAAGCTTTGTTTACCCAATCTCAGAAAACCATTTTTTTCCCCATAGTTCTTTACTTGACACTTTGCCTTTTTTGCTTGATGCTTACTCTAAAACATTTGCTTTTTGCTTGATGCTTACTTTAAAACATTTGCTCTCTGAGTTTATATCAAGATCACACTCCTAACCTATATTCTGACTGCATCCTTGGCTTAGTGCCCTTTTCTGTCTCTGTTTCTAAGATGTTTTCTTGCTGCATCTCACATGGCCTTTTACGCAGACAACAATGAAACACCCTTCCCACATGGTTTTGCCTGTGCCTGTTTTTTGGCTGGAAGCTCTGATCATTTGGGCTTCCAGACTGCTGTATAAAGGAACTTAATTGTCTCTTGCATTTTTCCAAAATGCAGTTGTGACTGTTCCACCTTTCATTGTCCCCAGTTCATTGAGGTTGAACCTAACCAATCCTGACATTAAAATTAACATCTTGGTATAGTGTAGAATTCGAAAAGATGTGTAGCAAAGGAGAAAAATCTAAAGGAAATGTTTCTCATCAACAATGTCATCAATAAAAACATGGTACCATAAAACATTTCTATTTCAATGAAAGTGAATTTTTTTCTACAGAAATCCTTCCATCAAATTATGGTTTTGCATCCTAATGAAAAGGAGCCTAATGAAAAGGAGGATATAACCATTCCTTTCCTTATTTCTCTACCCATCCAAAAAGAAAGAGGCACCATTTGTTCTCCACTTATGCTCCAGAAAAGCATTTCTTCCCTGTCCCTGTTCAGAAGAGTATATCTGCTTTATCTGAAGCTCTTTTTATTTTATTTTTTTTTTTACTAACAAGCAGCTTCTGTATCTTTCAAACAGAAAAGAAACACTTGAAGGAATAAAATTTAAGTATGACTAGGGCTAGAAATGTGCTACTTGTCAATAAATGCTTATTTCAGTGTCCTTGTTCAGTAAAAAAACTCTGTTCTGGAAGACTGCAAAGCAAAATGGCTGTAAACTGCTGAAATCAGTGAGGATTATGCACACAGTTATCATTCACATATTCTTAATGCTTTCAGAGTATAAACTGGCTTGAACTCTTGGCTTTATTTTCCTGCATCAGGGCCTACAAATGTAGCTATTGCAAATGATCGCTTCAAGTTCTACACTATTGCGTAGCTTAAGCTTTTGACTGATCTTATTTCAGTGTGGTGTGTTAAGCAACATGTTATGTTGCATTACATTGTCTTGACATGAAGGAAACTAATATGCAGACTGTGCGTCACATCACATTACGGTTTCGTGTGACAGAATACAACCTTTCAAACCTCTTTGAATAAGCTCAAGAGCAGAGCAGTTATCAAATAGGTCTTACAAATTTGTTTGCCTTTTTCTCTCTCCATCCATAATCAAGAAAGTATTTCTAAGAAGCAAGTTTCCAGTGATTACAAGTTTGTAAAAGTGAGAAATATCCTGTTGACACATCCCTGACAGTGGGACAGTATTTAGAGTACAACTAAAGGATGCATCCAGAGAGCATCTGTGCAATTGCAATTTCAAGTTAGTGAAAAAATGACCCCTTAGCAGAAATGGCTTCGTTCATGAGGGATGATACTGAAAGCAATCAAGTTCCTCAAACTGAGCCTTTTCACAAGGGAACACACTTTTTAGTTTGTTTATTTTTTTGAGAGAGTTTTTGACCATCACTTTTCCTGCACATCAGGCTCTCAGTCCCCAATTGTTGATCTCCTAAGCAGCTTCCTTGACTTCCGTGGGGGCCCTGACCTCAGCCAGTGATGGGTGCCTCAGCACCTAATTTGACTAAGCAGCTTCTACTGCCTTTGTGCGTTGACATTTTAGAATACAAATCTTGGATAATTTTTCTAGCTCTATCAGTAAATTGTTGTGCTGAGTCTTCTCTAAAAGATCTTTTTTCTCAAATGACTTGGTGACTGCAAACTCTGTCCTGATGCAAAGCCAAAAAAAAAGCATGATTATTTAAAATTGGTCTTCTATCATACTTCAAGTATCCCAGTATCTTTTTTTATTATTGTTATGGAGGTATCCTTGGGTGTGGAAGGGTGTTACGATAAGATGACTGCTATCTACCAAGTTCTGCTGGGGCATCAACTCCAAACACCATAGGAAATTCTCACCTTGATTCATTTTCAGGGTTTGCTTTTTGCTGCTGATTTTCATTCATGGCAGAGAGTGTCATGAGCTCTTTTCTTTCTGTGAGGTTAGCTAAGTGATGGTCCCATCTCTCTCAGTAGAACCTTTCCCCACTGTTCTTTTCATGAAATCTCAGTGTTTTTCTTGTTCTGCAAAGTCTGTTATCTGCTTTCTTTGACTATCATGCAATAAGCAGTGAATATCCTGGCAAGTTTCTTGATATACTGAAAAGGCTTCGTGCTTGTTTCCCCCTGTTTTAGTACTATCTGTTGATTGATTTTAGTGTCCTTCCTCACCATCTGCTTTTCTGTTTTTACTTTGTGTTTGTTGTTTTCAATAGTGTTTACTAGGCACAGTGTGCCTGGCTGCAGGGAGATAAATGAGAATTCATCTGTTCTCCCTTATGTCCCAACTCCGCAATGGAATTTAGGAAAAAAGGTCTAGTCATTCAATATTCTAAAAATGCCACCTTCATCTCAGATTACAGCTTATGTTTCCATTAATGACTCCTGGCATTTTAACAGCACTAATTTTTTAGTTATCTGCTCAAGACTTTTGATCTCACCCACAGTAAAATGTGAAAAATTGCTGTTCACATTGGTCCTTGGATCTGCTTAGCAAGAGACCTGGAAACTCCTCCCGCACCTCTACTCTGACAGTCTCCTGCAGCCAACATTTCCTTGCCTGTCTGGGGCCATTAGGACTCACAGTATGAGAATACTCGGCATAGCTGCTGCACCTGCATTTCCCCTGGTAGCTCCACAGGAGGTTTTGTTTGGCTTCTCTCGCACACTGTGCAAACTGATCAAAGGCCTCTAGTCAGTTAAAAATGCATCTTGGATTTTACTCGAAGTGCAAAGCACTTTCTTCATCTCAGACCTTGCAGTCTGGTCTCTCGTACTTCAAAGATGATGGCTTATAATTGTCTTTATGCATTTCATTGGCACCTGCTAAACATGAGTAACGGCAGCATTCGCCCCTTCCATAACAATGGGTGGCTCCTCTAGGTAACTTGAGTGATTCACTATCTAACGTTTCCTCCAGATGGCAAAGTTACAAAGCCAGTTCTGTGATACGGCAGGGGAAAAGCTTATGTTCTCCTCCACAGCTGCCTTAGGATCAGATTACATACTGGGATAGGAACTGCATCAAATCCTGAGATCCTTACCCAGTTTTCATATTGCCCTTATCAAGACAAACAGTGAGTTTAGTGGTACAAAAAAAAGAAAACATGACTGAATAAAAAGTGAGTATAAATATTAAGATAAACCCTATCACATTATCTAATGTATAGAGCAGAGTAAGCTAGAAATTAGATTCTAAAGCCTATTAAGTTTTTGTTCCCTTTAGCAGAATGTATTTACTGAGTAATACAGAAACAAGTAGTATTTCATTTTATGTTTCTAAAATATTAATGTATTCATTGATGGCATGTAAATGAAGAGAACAGCATTTTCGCATAGATAGGAAGACTAAGGCTGTGATTTTCAAAGAATAAGCTTTTTTTGAAGTTAAGAAATTGGTTATCAGTTTCATGCAAGCTTAACGAGGTTCCCTCTGTTGTCAGTGAAAAGAAACAGGCACTTCTCAAGTGTAATTCATCCTATCAGTCGCCTAGGCTGGGTAGAGGTGCCTACATCACTCCACCGGCTGTAGAAGCAGCTGAGATGACTCGCTTAGTCAAGTTGCTTCTCAGCTCCAGATATCGGGAAGATTAGTCGCCCTAGTTCAGAGTGACTTTCTGTGGAGATTCAATCATTATACTCCTTCGAAGCTACTGCTTACCAGTCTTAAGATTAGTCACTGTTGCAAAAGAGTACCTTAAATGTCCCATTGCTGATTTGCCTTCTAAGTGCTATTAATATTTTTTATTCTAATACATGGCATTTTCATTGTGTGATACTGAAATTTGAGTTACAGAGTGATTACTGTTCCAATGTTTAAATGTCTTTTTGATAAATGATGCTTATTGTTTCTTTTTTTCTTTAATATATAGGAAACGTGTCTCAAAAACTCTTTTCCTTGTTGCCTTGTGGGGGACTTGGGGTAAGTAGATGTTTGTTTTTTCGCAAGAGGGACAGCACGCAGCATGTATTCATTCATGAATTCTTTAACACTATTGCATTATGAGTTCAAAGTCTTCAGAAGCTGATAAAAAACGTAGACATGAAACCTGAGCCATTATCATACTGTGTTTTCAAAGACATAGAAGACAATTCATTACAATAAGGATATGGAACAGTCAGATACAAATTGTTATAGCAGAATGAGCTATACAATTGTACCCGTGTTACTTCCCTCAAAAATAGAGCTCATGTAAAAAACCCAAAGTGGGACAACTAAAAAATGTGCACATTATCACAAAATATGTTCCTATCTAACTGTTCCATATGCTTATTGTAGACAAAAATCTGTTGCCACACTAGCTAAGAGAATTAATCTAAATTACTGAAAAACATGTGGAATGGTATCATGCTCCTATTAAATTCTAGTGAAGATAATACCAAGGAGAAATAATTTTTCACATACAGGAGTTTTTCACACAGAAGTCGTCTACACTTTTGGTCCAGCTGGCTCCGTTATTTACAGATGTCAGCAATATCAAAGTGAAACAATGATATTACTAGATATTGGTGGGCTGGGTGGATGATGCATATATATTTTAGTTCCCTTTCACTGTTTCTGTGTATGCAGGAATAAAGCCACAATCTCTGGAGGTCAACTTCCAATGCAATCTTCTCAAGTTTTATTTACTTTCATCCTTCACAAGGGATAAATTCCATATCATCCTAGTCTTGTTTATAGTGGGGGTTTTTATTATGAGATACCTGACGGAAGAAATACTCATTTTGTAAGGCTTTAACACATGAAAAAGAAAAATTCTATTTTAGTTTTCAGTATTTAGTAATTTTTGAGGATTTCTGAACTATGAGTTAAGGAACAAATAGTCAGGGAGCGGGAATCATTCCAGCTCCTCTAGTGTGGACTTAGCTTGCTGAGGATTCTGCATAAAATTTGGAACTTGGTGACTAGCAACTTGCTAATCTTGAAACTGGGGGGTCGTTTCTGTATGCGGATCAGCTAACATTACACATCGACGCATAGTCATACATATGAACATGCACCTCGGTGCACTGACTGCTGTGTGCACATATGCACACATATATGCACATGCTTCTGTATAAAAAAAGGTAATTTTTCACACTGTTGTTGCAGTTATTAAGAAGCTTAGAGAAAATGGAACAAGAGATGAATAAAGTTGAGAAAGGATATTGTCCAGGCTTCTGAGTAAAGAGGACCTGATGTAAAATTTCTTGACAAATCTTTTGGGGGCCTTTGGAAAGTAAATAGGACTGTTGTATGCTTTGAAAATTAAAGTATAAGCTTTTTTCTATGAAACAAGTTATTGTGGTATTAAAAAATCATGAATAGAGATGTGCTTTGAAATCCTTTTACTAATGAAAGTATGTTGCCCATTCTGAAGCTAACGCATGAGAAATGCTCTGTATAACTTAATTTTTTTAAGCACTTAAATGTATCTACCCTTTTTTGAGTCTGTTTGCTTTATTTCTTATTTAAAATCATGGAAATTGGATTAAAGAACATGTTGTAGAAATGGATCTTTTATTTATTTTTTTTCTAGTTGGTTTGCCTTTCTACATATTATTATTGTCAGGCTTGCTGTGGGGCACTTTTAAAGGAATGGGTTATGACCTTTTTCAAGGTAAATAATCAGATTAGGAGCTCTCTTTCAGTGATATTTAGCTGTCTATTGGTTAAGAAGAGCTGTGGGAAAGGGAGCTGCTTTGGGGAAAGCAATTCTTTTTACTTTCAAAAATGATGGTGGAAAGAAAGAAGCAGCATTGCTCCTTAGTAGCTTTCAACTTAATTGACGGTTGTAAAGCAGCAATCAATGTAAAGCAGTAAGAGTAGTTCATGCAAAGATCTTAAGGAGGGATGGCAGAATTATTTTTTTTTTATTTTTGTTCTCATTTATTTGCTTGCTTTCTTGCTTGATTACTTGTTTGCTAAAGAATACAGTAAGAAAGTATTAAGAAAAAAAAAAATTCAATTCCTGAAGGAGATTTTGTGGCTGCCTCTTGAACGATGGTTTTCAGAGCTCTTTGATCCCATTGTCTTCTAACCATATGGGACCTTGCTGGCTGTTATTATGCAGCTCTTCTATTATTGAATCGATTAGTGGTTAGGCTACTCACACAGGAGATGGGAAACCTAGGCTCATTTCTCTCCACTGCCAGGCTGGATTTAATATCAGAGCCCCCATCTCTTAGCAGATGTTGTTACCACTGAGGAGATCATAGGTTGTTTCTGGTTGGGGACCCTCACACCATGCGCTGAAGCTGTGCCACTGTTGGAAAGAGCGCTGGAACAGTAAGACAGAGCATAAGTAGGATAAAGCCCATGTATCTAAGGGTATGATCTACCTATCATACATTTATAAATAATGTGAAGTCCTAGCTCTGAGCCCCTGTTCCACAAACAGCTTATATATTTCACATGAAAGAATCACTGGACAAAATGGAAACTGCTCTTGGAGCAAAGACTGGAACCTAGGACTTCACAGGCATTGAAGACATGATCAGCTGATGGGCTGTAAAGACTATATCGGCATGAATTTGGGATGGCTTGCATTGTTCACAAAGGTCCAACTAATCTCCGTAACACGAATTCTACTATATTATTGATTTTGTTGTCATCTCTATTCTAACAGCACCAATAAACTGCAGTCAAAGTATCCTCTTCTTTGGACATTTGTTACATTTAAGGTAAAATAATGGGTTTATTCAATAATTTTGGAAGGCAAACAAGAGGCAGTGACCATAATGAATATTTTCTGACCCTGTTCCATCATGGTTCTAAATCTTTTGTACCAGTGCAAAATGGATGTAAAGCTACTGTTTACTGATTTTGTAAAGATTTTTCATCCATAGGAATTTTCTTTCAAGTAGTGATAGGGACTGATTAGGTCAGAGTCATTGGCAAATTGGGCTTGGTAAGCTTTCAGAAGAAATCAAACAATAAACTTTATAGTTTTATAAGAAACTATATAAGTCATAATTAGCTCTCTTATCTAAGAAGACAAAGCTGTTTCATACTGACAGCCAAACTGAACAGGTCTCACAGAGAGAGAAAAAAAAGGTTGTCTAAATCTAACCTCCGCAATTTGCCCATGACAGGTTTTCTTTCAATGATGGTTAATTTTTTATCAGAGGACTACCCAGGGTCAGCCGTATAACATCCACTGAAGTATGGGACCTCCTTCTTGCAATAATGCTTTTTATTCTTTTTTCAAGCCTAACGTTGTTCCAGAACCAACTGTTGTTAAAGAATTCTAATACCAGGGGGATAAAATTCCTTGTCTTGGAGAGAGACTAGCAGCTCTATGGCCAGCAGTTTTAATAACAAGAGATGGTTTCTTGCAGCTGGTCAGAGGTTTGGAATGTGAAATTTTTTCCAGGAGAGGTGGGTAGAATGCAGGTGAAGTGGCCAAATGGGGAGAATAATCACAAATTACTTTTTGGTTCTGTGAATTATCAGATCATTCCACAATTTTTCATCTGTAAACAGCCACTAGAGCTGTAACTGGTCATTTGATCAATGCATCCACCTATTGCAATTCCTCCCCTCCTGTTGTGCTGTGAAGACGACAATAAGAGAAGCAGAAATCTACTTTTAATGGGACTAAGTTTCATCTCCTTGCCTCAGTCTGTCACTAAAAATAGTGATGGTTTTCCTGCCTGTTTGACCTGCTGCTGTGTGAAGAAATCTTGAAGTCATTTCTCAGCCATATTTTTTTGTCTAGTTGATAGGCAAAAAAACCCACAAAAGCAAAGAAGAGCAGGCTTTTATGATAATGTCATCATCGGCTCCCAGCTTCAAACACTTCTGCGGCTTTTGAATTGTCATTTATAACTTGGAACTGAACCGACCCATAATTCCCTTGATGCGTTTAGAGAAATTGATAACAGACTGCTTCTTTTATGGCTCAGAGGAGGCAACTCCAATCACATCACTATTGGCAGTCAATATTATTTTCTGACATGGTTGTAAAAGTATAAAGGGGCTTATGGCATTTGTTTAGATGAGGAATGGGCTCTCAAGCTGTGCTGGGGTTTATGGGTCCAGATTACCGAGAAGCAAAGGGAATATGATGTTTGCAAACAGGATATGATTTTATTTAAGTTTGGGTTTCATACGTTGTTCCCTGGGGATTGTCCTGCAGACAGAAGAGAATTTCACTTTTATCATATGAAATTGGGCAGTTATCCAATCCCCCCTGCTCTCTCCCCACCCTCAAAAGACACTGCTCCAAATCTGTAATGTGTAAAGTCAGATCTTTAAATTGCAAGAGGAGGAGCTGGGGGAGAACACCACCCTGCAAGAAATCAGCCTTTAACAGAATAAATATTTAGTGAGCTGAACAGAGTGGTTCATGGGCTAAATATTGAGCCATCTGAATGGCTAGGGATTGCTTGTACATATTACGGAAAGTCCATTGCATTTCCTCTAACTTTGCTGTTACAGCAGTAAAACAGAGATGAGATTTTTCTGCTGGATAAGTTGGTCTTGTTTCATTAACTGCTGGCCTTGTTTCGTTAACTGAACTGTAGCTTAGATCTTTCATATCAGAAAAGAATTTGGCCTGTTACTGTCAAGAAATGAAATGTAAAGCTATAAAATCTCTCTTCGTTTTTACAAAACTTACAAAATATCCATATTTTCTGAATGTTGAATTTCTTCCTGGCATTCCTTGCTGTGGTAGCTGGACGGTACTACTTTTTGTCCTGACCACACACGAAGAAAAGCAATAAGAAAGGCAAGATTTCACTAATATGCATCTTTGGTACGTCATCTAGGCAACAAATTGTTTTCTGCTGCTTCTCATTCTTCTCTTGATCTTCTCAGTCTGGGCCCAGGAAGAATTTTCAGACTTTACACATTATCACTCTTCATTCCTCTTATTTGTGTAAGACTCAAAGGTACCAACCTGGTTCCATTACCATGGTACAACAGTGTAAAAATTA